GTGCTATTGCAGTTATATGAATGACAACAGGGCGGGGCAGGGCCTTGTTTTGCATGTCCCGACCCCGAACCCCATCAGGGCTAGAAATCCAAACTCCAATTCCGTTCTTACAAGAAACGAGGATCCCAAATTTGTGCCGTCCCACCTTAGTCATTCCTAGTTGCATATTTACAAATTTAATTTTTATTTTTTAAAATCTACCCACAGTATAATATAATATAAYACAATATAATACAATACAATATATAATATAATATAATATAGGTGGGGTGGAATAGACAAATACCATCTTCTTTCCGTCCCCGATCCTCTGAGTTTCAGGTCCGCTAGGGGATGGTCAAATTGCCATCCCTACAACTATAGTTGTCATTGAACTCATTTGGACCTAGCACATGTTGACCGACTTCGTATTTTGCCTCCCTCACTCCTATCATATGGTGTGTCATAAGGTTGTGGCTCTACATCCATTGGATTCACATGTGAGTAGTATATACACAAGAATGACCACAATATGCATGCATGTATATGAGTAATGATTTGGTATCTCCCACTAATTTCATATTGCTGATATTTTGACCAAACTGTTATATGTAATACATCTTCATGTACTTGTTCTCTCTCTCATATATATATATATATATATATATATATATCATTAATTAAAAATTCCCCTCTTTTTAACTCAATTTCTTTTTGGTTGTTTTGCCTTTCAGGATGCTGATATAATGTGGTTCTACAATCCATTTCCACGTTTTTATTTGGGTGCAGATTTTCAAATCGAATTGGTCCTTTGATTTTTCAAAAAATCCAAACCGAAACCAAACCGATTGGTTCAGTTAATTGCATTTTGCAGTTCGATTTTTCATGAACACCCCTAAATGTAAATGCCTCATGAGRCCCATAAGTCCAAGGAAGGAGTACCTAAGGCTTACTAGTCCTAGTATGTTTCCATCCCCCTTTCAGAACAATAAGCTAGCCTTACCCGATTGGCTTAGACCAGGTTATTACAAATGTTCATCGATGATATTGAGAGTGAAGATGATCACCATGTTCTCATTCTTTTGTCATATAACCCATTTGAAGTTCAAGACAATTGCTACGACTTGGTTATTACAAATATTTCTCATTGGTCGGTTGCTTATCATTCGTCAAGAGGATATTACAACAACCAGTAGTTGCATAGACCACCATCACCATGACTTATTCTTCCTTTCCTTCTCTATCTACTTCTTTGCCCACTCTTTCATATTGCATTCAATGAATAGGAGACGTGAACATAGAATTGTTAGCTATGCAACTGTAATTTGATGTTGAATATGTTAATGGTGAAAGATTGGTTCATGTTTGTGAACGTCGAAAAAATATTGATTGTTCACTTCATGGCTAATCAGATGGAGTCGCCACCCATCAGAACAACTAAATGAGAATGATGGGCCTCCTGAGATTGGATTTTGTAAAATATTTAGAAATTAATAGTGACTCTACACCATGACTAGGACAAGGTTATTTTGGGTAAGTTGAGAAAGGGAAAGGGATGTTCCCTTTAGTTGTCAGTGTGAATGCCAAATCCCTTTTCTAAAATTTCAGTCTGAATTGGAGACCCGGATCCTCCAGTAGCCTGAAAGGATGTTCCCTTCTGTACTCACGGACTAATCCCCTTTTGAATGTAGGGGCCTAAGCAAAAGGGTGGGAGATTGCTCCCTCACCCCTTTTCTATAAGAGCCCCCACCTTCGAACTTAGCTGAATGGTCTGAAGAGAGAGAAAGCACAAACCTCTTGGACTCTTGGAGAATGCGCATACTCTAGTGCTCAAACTTGAATGCAAGAATGAAAACAAAGCAAGAAAAATTTGAAATAAATTAAGAGATTACATGTTTAGCAGAACCAAGACTCAACAAGATGTGAGGTAAAAGATTTTACCTCCTATAGCCTTTMACCTAACGATGCTGTTGTGAGAATCTACAGAGTTAGCGAACTTGAATGTAAAGGTTGGAATGATTTGATGAAATCGGTCTGGTGCTGTGGAAGCTTTAGTTGGTCGGTGACAAAGGGGGCAGATCGAGGGTTCTAATAGTAGCAATATAACCCGAATAGCAAATAGGATATTTGCGGAAGGGAAGGCAGAGGTGACTAATGCATTCAGTCTATGGAAGGAAAAGAAATCTTCTCTACTCTTTTGTCTCTTTGATATCTCTCAATTCCTTTGTAACCTCTTGCTCGAGCTCTCTCATCTCGCCATTCTTCTCTCTCTCGTTTTCTCTCTCAAACCCTCTCATGCTCTCTGTAATCACCCCCTTTTCTTAAAAAATGAGAGCTCTCTCTCTCTTGCCCGATATCCTCTATCTTTTCTTCATTCTCTCTCTCCTCCTTTTCCCCCTCAAGAACTCTGAGACTCCTCTCTTTCGACGACCTCTCTCTTCGAAAACCCCTTCTCATCCAACCTCCCCCTCTTCAAACTCCTTTCATCTGACCTCCTCTCTGAATTCTTAGCTCGATAGCCTAACAAAGAGAGAGCCCCCCCTCTCATTCGACCTGAGCCTCTTCTTATAATGGGAAGAAAGGGGGGCTAATAAACTTTTAGAAAAAAGGGGGCTGATTTGGTAAGTTAGGGTTTGGAGAGGGTGATACAAGTTTAGAGGGGGTATTTAGGTAATTCGGGTTTCAAAAGGGTATTTTTGTAATTTAAGGCTTGGGAGTAAATTGGTATTTTGGGATAAAAGGGCAATCGGGTAATTTTGAGGCAATTTGGTGATTTGGGGTTTGAAGGGGTAGGTTAAGAAGGGTAATTTGGTGAATAAGGATATTTTGGTAATCTTGGTTAAGGGGGCATTTTGGAAATTTGAAGAAGGGGTATTTTGGTAATTTAAAATAGAAGGAATTTTGGTAATTTGGTCAAGGATATTTTGAGAATTTAAAAGGTGTATTTTAGGGATTTAGGGATTGAAGAGTATTTGGGAAAATCGGAATAAGTGGTATTTTGGTAATATTGTAAGGGGGCATTTTGGTAATTTAGGGGATGAGGGGTTTTTTCATGATTTGGAAGTAGGGTATTTTGGGAATGTGGAATGGAGGGTATTTTGGTCATTTGGCATGAGAGGTAGTTTTGATAACTTGAAATAGTTTTGGGTCTTTGACATGAGGGGTATTTTGGTCAAGGGCATTTTAGGAATTTGGTATGAGGGGTGATTTTGGGAGTTTGGAATGAGGGGACATTCTTAGGCTTCAAGGGTATCGGGTGAGATCATTAGAGGATTTTGTGGATATGGGGTTGAGAATTAGATTCTTTAAATTCTTTGAGTTTTGGTAGTGTTGGAATGAATTGATCGGTGTTCAAGCCTTCAACGGTGAATTAAAAGTTTAGAGAAAAGAACGAGCAAAAATCAGGTATTAACAATATTTTATAATCAATAGAATATTTCTAATTAACAGTTGAGACAAAGGGAGCTTTTTAGTGATTGTGCTCCATTTCTGAAATACAGTCATGAAGAGATTCCCGATGAGTTTTGGGTGGGTNGGGGGTGGGGGACCATTATTTTAATTCTCTTGCTCACCTTCTAGCTAAGAAAGGTATGCGGGAGCAGTGTTAGTCTGATATGAGAGGTCCTCCGTAATTGTTTCAGTCCTGTATTTTGAGGCCTATATATTATGAATATTGAAACTTTCTCTATTCTATAAAAAATATATATGTCATAAATGTGTTGGATATGCCGAGTGGGGGAATCAGGGGCAGGGCCATAATCTAGTGGGTTTCTCTCTGATGACCTCCCACGCCAAAATTCAGTTCCATAAAACCATTCTTATTCCTAACCAAAGTTTCCTTCAATTCATTATAGATCAGATCACAAGGTTTTAGGTATTCAACAGCTCGGGTTGAGTTAAGTTAGGGATTTGGGGAATATATACTCACACTTGGAAGGAGAGGTCATAATGCCAGCAATGCATTAAGACACGTTTCTCTTTGATCGACACGTGGTGCAACAATCCATCACCATCCCATTTGCATCAGCTAATGCACTATTATCATTACCAAAGTTGCCAGTTGGCAATCTGTTAAGTCCGGCTGTCCAGACTCGAGAAGGCCGGTTTGACGGAGGTTTTCTAATCCAGTAGTTTGGACAAAACAGCTGGTTGGGTTGGTTGTGAATTGTGAGTTAAGCACTTAAGCTGAAAAGCAGCCCAGGCTGCTGTTTATAGAGTTGCGTCTTTAAAACGTTTACAGACGAGGCAACCAGCTTTGAGGCCAAGCTGATGAAGAATTACATTCCCACCATGTGCCAATGTTTCAGCATCACAAGGTTTCAGTCTGTTTTAATTTCTTACAAACGTAGTTTCAAACTTTCAATAACTTAGACTACCATAGCTAGCTAGATGCACTTTATTTGACGTAATTTTTCTTATTTTTTTTTTTAATTTTAAGTAAAAAATATTGATTGCGAGAGAAGTAGTGAAATTGAGTCTAATTAAGGCAGTTTAGGAAATTTCTTAATAGCTTTTCTTAATACATGCCGAAGATTAAGATACTGTAACGTGAAGCCCACCAGAGTACTGTTGATTAAGGTTGGATGTTACGTTGCTTCAAAAGAAAAAAGCGATAATATCTCATGTTCACACGCAGTATTGAATTTGGAATGGGAGATGAGCTATAAACAAATTCATGTACAACAAGATACGAGACCGATCAAGAGTCCATTGTACGCAGCTAATAAGAAAATTAAGTCAATGACTTTCTCTGACAGAAAAGTTCAGGAGACATCCGACGATGCATAAGTTGAAAGATCGGTGTCTAAAGCTCTCAACTCTGATAGACGAAGAAATTGCCGAAAATTCTGTTATAAGCTAGCATGAATGATTCTGTGGTATTCTCGTTACTGTCTGACTGATTTAAACAGACAGAGAATGAGCATGTACGTAATTAAAACAGGAAGAAGAATTCGTACTATAAAAGGGCGAATAACCAAAACTCACCTGTCTGAATATTCAGAAGAAGACGACTGACTGCCATGGTGATTGGTTCTGCCTGTGAAAACCCCTCCGAAATGTTACCGGATTCCGGCTCTCCCGTCCGCCGGATCATTACGCTCTCGATTATCTTTGCTGCAGTTGCATTACCTTGTCTTTTTATCTACAATGCTCAGACCTACTCCTACATAGATTTGTCTCGGTCTTTCGGTTCCTTTTCTTACACTATCAATCAAGTTTTCTCCTCCTCTAAGGTTGATACATTATATCCGGTAAGCTTTTTCTTGTCCGTTCTCTTTCTCTCTCGTACATCCATATCTTTGTTAATTAAGGCGGTGTTTGTCATGGATGCTGTTGCTCAATAAAATGGTGACACACTCACTGCCACATTGCTCTAAAAAACGGTAACATGTTTGGAATCGTTTTTTTTTATAAAAAACGGTGATTTAAGTCACGTCTTAAAAATTGAGAAGGCATGGTTTCGAGCAACGCCGAATTCAACGTTTTCTCAATTTGGAGCTTGTTGCCGCTAATAAGGACATGATGTGGCAGTGATGTAGACTTCCTATGATGGGTACCCGTGCTAAAAACAGATATGGAGCACTGGTACCAAATAGAAGGTGTTGTTGTTGCCCAAGGAAATGTCCTACCTGGTACCAACGTTTCCAAAAAAAAAAAAAAAAGACCATTGCTTCCAACCCACATAGAAAACGGTCCTGTATATGCATCATTGATGCCAAATATATATTAAGTACGTGAATTGCACATTTTGAATTTTTTTCATATTAATTATTTGAATTTTAGATAAATCATAGTTAGGATAGAAATCGAAAATTAGTAAAAGTAACAATATGGTTAAAAATAAACTTAAATGCTTGTAGTAAATGTGTACATGTATTGCACATGTAAATGTTAAATTACAATTATTATTATTATTGTTAAATTTTGTGTTCCATGTAACAAAAATTACTTTTATGTAATATGATGAATATATAACATTAGAAATGTTCCAAAATATTTTTGACAAAATTCTGTATTTTTTCATTTTTTGTGTTATATATTTTTTAAATATTTATTATTCAATTATGACACCATGAATTTCATTGAAAAGTTGGACCATTGACCCACCATCTAGATAAGAAAATGAATAGTTTTAAATTATATATTTCATCTACATTATATAAACAATTTTCACTTATCACACTTAATTTTTGTTAACATAATTAATATATAATTTTTATATATTCTTTTGATTACTTATACTTTTTTATTTTTTAAAGATTTATTGTTTAACTATTATATCATCGATTAATCCATTTGAGCCAAACCACTAACCTGCCACCCAAAAAGTAATATTGTTTGATTTTTCATTAATTTTTGTATTACATTTCTAATATTGATAAATTTACTTTTTATGTATAATTCTTACTTTTGTTTAATATAATGAAAGTATAATGTTAGAGATGTACCCACTATTTTATTTTTTTATAAATATATAACATTACATATATGCCCCAAATTTTCTCTACTTTTTTTTTTATTTTTGTGATTCTTTGTATTTTATATTTTTAAAAATTTATCATTTGACTATAACATCATTTCATTTCTAGTTTGTTTTTAAATTTGATATTCCATTTTCATCATTAGTAAAAATAATTTACATTTCATACTTATTTTTGTTTAGTATAATGAACAATATTAGAGATATGTTAAATTCTTTTTACCTTTTTAATTATCATATAGTTTATTTATTTTAATTTTTATTATTTAATTATGACATCATTTATTAACTGACTTAATTCCAAATGGTTGAATTACTTACCCACCATGGAATGGAAGAAAATGGTTTTTTCTTCAAATTACTTTTCAAAATATTTTTTTATACTAATTAAAATTAATGTTGTGGATTTAATTAGTAAAATTTAATGATGAGAAAAATATATCTTAAATATAGGATTTAATGAAAGAATATACCTTAGACCTGAAATTTAATGAGAGAGAATAGAAAAATATTTTTTTTTTGCAATTGGTTTTAAATTTTATATTCCATTCTATCATTAATAAAAACATTTCTTATTTATTATACTTATTTTTTTAATATATCGAATATGTGATGTTAAAAATATTCCCATTTTTTAATGTTTATGTTTTTTTCATTTTATTGTTTTATTGTGGCAATATGGATTGACACATTTGACCCAAAATGGTTTAGTTTCTTACCATCATCTAGATGATAACTCGATTTTTTCCAGCTAGATTTTAAAATTATATGTTTTTATGTTATTATAATTATTATTTATTATGTATGAATTTAACTAATAGAATTTAATGATGAGAAAAAATAAAAATGACTTAAATATATGATTCAATAAAGGTGAATGTAAGTTAATACGTTAAATGTTGGATTTAATGAGAGGGAAATGAATGTATTGAAAATCACCCCTTTTCAACTCATTTAATATCAATAATCGATGGCCCTATTTGTCTCATTTTTTATCAACAAATTTAAATACGAAGGGATCAATTTTACCATCATAAAATTCCAGAAATATTACTGAAACTATTAGTGCTTTTTCAAGTGGTATAGATTTCATTATTTTTAGTTGGTTTGTAATATCTGTAAATCATGGAGAGCGGAACCATTCTGTATCAGTGTTTCTTGCGTGGTTATGGGATTGTGGCATATTACAGAGGCTTCGGTTAGAAAAAAATTAGTTTTACGACACCAGAAGTGTCTATCAGCTTCTGGATATTTCCTCATTTCTCAGTTGGCATTTTGAGACTTCAAGGCTCATCCTCGAGACCTAAAAAAGCCTGACCATTGAACAAGGACCGTGGATCTTTTGCTCTCAAGTCTAAATGCTATGTATATCTTGAAACGTAATTAATCATGCATTAGTAAACATTAGGGATGGCAATTGGGTGAGCTTGGGGAGGATTTTGTAAATTCTAGACCCTATCCACCTCCCTAAACCTCTAATCTATACCTGTCCCAAAACCCATATCAGGTTAGATTTTGAAAATCCAAATCCTCCCTACACATGAAAATGCAAAACCTTCTCTGACCCTATCCTCCCCGCATTCAAGGGTAGGGGTAGGCTAGGTGTAGAACCTTCATCTAATTTTTTTATTATTTATTGTCATATAAGAGTAATAAATAAGTAAAATAACACAAATTAACAATAAAATGTCTAATTGTTTGATTAAAGCACGTAAAAGATACATAAACTATCAATTATCCTTCATGTAAAATTTAAAATATTATTAAATTCAAGACCTAATACATACATTTTATTTGTTTTCCAACAAAATGCTGGTTGGAGAGGGTCGGGTCGGGTTTAGCCTAATACCATACTCTAACCGCACTCGCATGGGTTGTAGAATCCCAAAACTCATCCCTGCCCCAAAACCCCTATTCAAGCAAAACAATCCCGCCCCATTGAAAAGGATAGGGGCGGATACCCACCAGATAGGATAGAAATTGCCATCCCTAATAAACATGCTAGTGTTCACATACTGACTGTCCACGTATGTTCGATCGACTAGTTTTCTTTCTTTCTTTCTTTTTTTTTTTTTTTTACTGTCCACATTTTGCAGCTCAGCAATGATTGCCATTAGGTATTATTCAGCGGCAAATTCACACTGACCCCACTGACCTGGCCCAATAGCGGTAACCAATCAGCTGGAAATATATATTTATGTATATATATATATAAGCTTTCTTCTTTTTCAAGGTAGAACCTGCCCTGTAGGGTTGCTTCTACGTTTTTACAACTATAACTTAAGATTATATCGATGCCAAGTCTATCAACAAGGTCTATCCCCCAACAACAACAAGGTCTATCCCCCAACAATAATAATAATAGGTTTTGATTTTCAAAACTTAAATTACTTTTATTGATTAAATTGAGCAATTTAATCGGTTGAAGATTATCATTACAATTTAAATTTTGTAGATATAACCTTTACATACTATACACATTAAATTTTAGATTGAAGAAAAATGACCAAATTACTCAAGTGAGTCAATGGTAAAGTGAGATCATGATTTTTGTAAGTTATAACCATGAGTGCTTGGATTCAAATCTCTACACCTTCAAAATATTTTGGGATTCATTCAAGGCAAGTTTAGTTCAAAGACCATCTCCACCAAGGTCAACCAAAGCCGGTCCTTTGGGTCGGTTTAGGTAGGGTAAACCCTTAGACCTTGGAATTAGTCTAAGTGGGGGTCTCTTCCATGATCAATGAATTTAGAATCAGACCCTATTTGGGTTCTAGGTAAAATGCTCCCATTTGCTCACTCCTAGGTTTAAGTGAGTATAGATATATATACAATATATAATAGTAGTAGATGGTACTTGTTTCCAATTTAATTTTTGATTTTTTTTGTTATTTATATAGGTTAATTTACATGTTATTTTGGGTGAGATAGATAAAATGGAAAATGGGGGGAGGTGTATTTGGAATCTTATTTGATAATACCACTTAAGGTCAATTATGTCGCATGGAGTGGAAAGCTGGGAAATCAAGAACTAACATGTCCAAAATATGAGTGTGGCATAAATGTGTATGCTGGGATGGATGAGTGGAAAACTAGAAGGGATAGGTCAAGAATGAAGTCATTTGAAAAAGCCCAAAATAGCTCAAAATAGGTAAGACCACTAAAAGCACTTGTAAAAAGAATTACCCTATTCAAGTTCAAGTGTTTAGAAGAGATAAGGGTAGACCAAAAAGGACAGGGATCAAAGTAGGTAGGAATGATTTAAGTTTCTATACTTTACCAATGGGTATGGAATTAAATAAAACAGAATGACATAATATGATTCATGTTGCTGACCTTGAATGATGATGATGATGATATATATAGTATGTATGGCATATATGTATATAAGTATATGTATTACCACATACATAATAATTTTATTATTTTTTAAATATACTTTGTTGTACTTTTGATTATAGAAATAAATTAAAAATTTAATTTCCTAAAATATATAAATACTATTAATTACATGGGCCAGCCCAGATGCATGTCTGGGCTGGCTTGGCCCTAGACCAGACCTTGACATGTTATATCAGACCCAGGGGTGTGGGTCGGGCTGGCCGGAAGGCCTTAAGGCCATCAATGCCCTGTAAAAACCCAAGAGAGTGTTTGCAATATGATAGAGCACTGTACAAGTATTGATTTCTTTTGATTTGGGACAATAAATTTAGGGCCCGTTTGGTTTGTGGAAATAGGGGTCTGGAACCAGAATCGGAATGGGTCATTTCAATTTCAATTGTTTGGTTGAATAGAATCGGAATCCTATTCCCATTTTTGATGGAATGGCATTTTTCCATTTGAGGGAATGACCATTATCTTTCCCTCCCTTGGTAATAAAATCCCATTCCAACTGATTTAAATTTTCATTCTAATTCTTATCTTAATCAAATAGACTATGAGAATAAATCATTCAGATTCCAATTCCTACATATTTTGATTCCAATTCTATCTGTGAACCATAATACGGACCCTTTATTACATTGATGGAATAGAAATACTAGTTTACAACTATTTTCTTGTCCTGATGAAGTTAGTTACTTTTGTAGGATACCAAGGAGTTGAGTCTGGAAAGTATATTGAAGGAATCGGCTATGGAGGATAAAACTGTTATCTTAACAACCTTAAACGAAGCTTGGGCGGCACCTGGCTCAATGATCGATCTCTTCATTGAGAGCTTCAGAATTGGAGATAATACGAGTTGGCTATTGAACCATTTGGTAATTGTTGCCTTAGACCGAAAGGCATATAGTCGTTGTTTGGCTGTGCACACCCATTGCTTCGCTCTGGTCACCGAAGGAGTGGATTTCTCTGGAGAAGCATATTTCATGACCGCAGATTATTTGAAAATGATGTGGAGAAGAACTGATTTTCTACGATCAGTTGTTGAGATGGGATACAACTTTGTTTTCACGGTACGCTTCCTCCCCCGCCCCCCCTTTTTATTTTAATTTTTAGCATTAAATGTAGGAAAATTCCAGATTAGTATCTTATACTTTGGGTCTAATGTCACTTTGGTCCCTATATTTTAAAACGAGGCAATTTAGTATCTTAACTTTCAAAATGTGCCAATCTAATATCTGCCATTAACCAGTCCGCTAACCAGTCGTTAAGTGCCATTTGAAAAGACACAAATACCCTTCAAGTGTCATTTAATTCTCTTTATCAAATATCCAAACATTGACAAAAAATGAACAGTCCCAAATCCTTGCCTCTTCTGTTCAAGAAAGTTGGGGTCATTTTTTATCAATTGAGACATAACACTAACTTTTTTGAATAGAAGAGGCAAGATTTGAGACTGTTCATTTTTTATCAATATGTGGATGGTTGATAAAGAAAATTAGATGACATTCATAGGTCATTTGTGCCTTTTCAAATGTCACTTAATGGCAGGTTAACGGACTGGTTAATGATAGGTATTGGATTGAAATATTTTGAAAGTTTGGGTATAAATTGTCGCGCTTAAAGTTTGGGAACCAAAGTGGTATTTTAAAATTCAACTAAGGATAATTTTGGAATAGAAAAATTGAATAGGTGCTTATTGTATAAGCACTTAAAAATGCTGGAAATTTGGGCTTAAAAAAGTATGCCCTTATTTTTAAAATAAGCACTTATTTTGGACTTATTTTCCAAACACCAATAAGTGTTTAATGGTGTATTCCCTACCCAAATAAGCACTTATTTTTGAATAAGCACTCCCAAATATGGCCTAAGTATTGATGACCTAAAACTGATAAATATTATAATATTCTAAAGACCAATAATTTCCTTTTGGAAATTTAATAGAAATTTTTAGGTGAAAGCTAATGGTATTTTTTTTGCATGAGTTATGTTTTGGTCTTCAACTAGTATTGCCAACCGGCTTAATTGGTAAGCTCATCAGCTGTTTGTACCTAGGGGTGGCAATGAACCGATCTCTTCTGAGCTACTCGAGCTCGGCACGAAGCTCGGTTGAAATCGAGCCGAGCCTAATAGAGCTTGGCTCGTGAGGGTCGATTAAGAAACGAGTTGAGCTCGAGCCTAATAGAGCTCGGCTCGAAGCTCGGTTGAAATCTAGTCGAGCTTAATAGAGCTTGGATCGTGAGGGTCGATTAAAAAACGAGTTGAGCTCGAACCGAGGGGTGTTAATTCACATGCTCGATTAAGAAACGACTTGAGCTCGAGCCTAATAGAGCTCGGCTCATGAGGCTCGCAAGTCGGCTCGAGTATATATATATATATATATATATATATAAAATAAAAATATTATAATTCTTAATTTTTTAAATATCAAATAAAACATATTTTTATATATAATTTTTTTATTTTTATAAAACATTTTTTTCTCAAAATTGAGCTTGAGCTCAGCTCAAGCTCAAGGTTCTAGCTCGAATTGAGCTTGAGCTTGAGCCTTATGGAACAATCTCGAGCCGAGCTCGAACCTTGTACTATTCGGCTCGATTCGGCTTGAATCCACCCCTAGTTGCACCAGAGATTTGGGATCCTTCACTAGTGTAAGGAAGTTTATGGGTTTACAACTAAGGCTTCATTTGGGAAGAGTGTAAATGCTGGATCACATGCACTCTGGTTTTGTTTTGCTGGTGTTTGGTAATTGATAAGATTGCATTTATGTATTGAAAATGACAATTTTCACAAGTTTTAAGGTATGCTTGCATCCAAAATGAGAGTGAGTTTACATTAAGGCCCCGTTCGTTTATTGGTAAATTAGAGGGGGGAAGTTGGTCAATGGGTATCTTTTTTCCATTGACTAACTTTATAGTGTTCCTTTTGCATTAAGTACCGAGCACACAATAGAGTGTGCTTCATTTACTCGAGTAAAACTTACTTGCCCATCTCTCAGGTGGGTAAGTAACTTTCCCAAACGGGTAAGTTTAACATTAGCTTTTTATGGATAAAAAGGTTATTACATTACTTGCTTGAGAATCAAAAGAACACGGGTAAGTGTTATCTAGGAAGTATTTACCTAGCTAAGTGTACTTATCTTGGTAAGTGAGAAATTTGTAAACGAACGGGGCCTAAGGGTGACCATCAAAAACTATAAAACCAAATCGAACCGATGAGATCGAACCAAAAATTCCAAATAACCAAACTAGCCGGTATGCATATATTTATATATATTATATGTATATTATTTATATTTTATATTATCTATATATTTTAAATGAATATATATATATATATATGCATTATATATATTTAATTATAATATATAATATATTATTTATTATCTATAATATAATATTTTACATGTATTTCTAGAATTTGATTATATATTTATTTATAATATATTATAAATATCAAAAACTGAAAATTTGACAAACTGAACTGGTAATTAATCGAACCAATTAACTGTTTAACCAATTGGCTTCAATTTGGCTTTCCAAAAACTAGTAACAAAAACTTTTTTGCAAAGAAATCAAATTTATCAATTCAAAACTAAACCAACTTTTGATTTACATGGACAAGAATGCACTCTACAAATGCTGTCATTTTCTTGAACTTTGCATAATCGTGTTTGCACTCTTCTCAATTGAAGCCTTAAGCCCATAAACCAATTATTTGCTAGGAGACTAAAAGGATGTTAGGAACTTTTTTATGGCCACTCATCATTTTATCTTATGCAAATGATGAAAAGTTGTAAATGATCTTCATGAATCAATAACCAGAAAGTATTGCGATTCCTGAGCCCTGAAATGAGGAACTTGAAGAGACACCATCTTTTCTTTTACACGGGTGGACCAAGGGGACTCTTCAACTCTGTTTCGATCTATTCCCAAGCTTGATGCATGGGTGGGTAGCTTTGTAAGCTGCAAAGGGATGCTTAGCAGTTTGCAACCTGCATGCCCATCAAGGTGACTGTTCGTTGCAAGATCATTAAGCTCTAAAGTACTTACAGATGATTATAACAGAACATATGAACTAGGGTTTTCTTTATCAGCCTACTTGTTGAACTTTTTCCTCTGTTTAATTCAATTTTTCTTGTTGGTTGGTCTGTCTTTCAGGATGCTGATATAATGTGGTTCCGCAATCCATTCCCACGTTTTCACTTGGATGCAGATTTTCAGATCGCATGTGATCACTTCAGAGGCAGCTCGACTGATTTAAACAACAGTCCAAATGGAGGATTCAAGTATGTCAAGTCCAATAACAGGACGATAGAATTCTACAAGTTTTGGTACTCCTCAAGGTGGACCTATCTTGGAAAGAATGAACAGGATGTGTTAAACAGGATTAAGTATGGCCCAGTCATCAAAAGCATTGGATTGAAGATTAAGTTTTTGGATACTGCTTATTTTGGTGGGTTTTGTGAACCCAGCAAAGATTTGAATAGAGTTTGTACGATGCATGCAAACTGTTGTTTTGGTCTGGGTAACAAGCTCCATGATCTTAGAGTCATGCTTGACGACTGGAAAATTTTTTTCTCTTCTCCGGCAAGTGTGAAGAGACCGGCGGGAAGGTCATTCTGGAGAGTCCCACAGAATTGCAGGTATATATATAATGAGACCTTCCATTGTCCATTCATTAATTTAATTTATGTGTTCAGTGAATCATATATCAGTGATGGATCATTGGTTATTTCTTAATTTTTTTCTGTCCAGACATTCATTCCATCCACCTAAAAAGAATATTAGTCACCAGGAAAGGAAGGATTGAAACTATAAAATCAATTTCCACGTCTCATGTTTTCTCTGGAGCCAGCTTTGTAAAGGTAGTACTTTTGCCCATTTAGTTATGCTGAGGCGCTCATCAGTTTTTGCACTGGTGTTCACGCTTCGTATTTGATTTTGTTATATTTGTTTGTGACAAGAATATGATGTAGACGCTAGACACCACAATATATGATATAGAATGGAGGTAGGAGAATGGTGGTACAAATTTTGCATTAATTTTTGGGTGCAAAATTTGCACTGCCAGTGAATGCAAATAAAACAAAAAATAAAAATTTTGTATAAGATAAATCGACATAGGAGTACAGATCATAGTTGCAAATAAACAGACGCAAAATTGATCTGGGTGCAAATTTTGTATCCGGTTCAGGTTTGCACTGCTAACAAATGGAGCATTGCTCTTGAATGCAAATTACATGTCTGTATTGTCATTGTTGGATTTGTGAAATTTAGAAAAATAATTTATTAAAGGGGTATTTTCCAATATGATATATATATATATATATATATATATATTGAATTCAAAAAACAAAGGTCCAACACCTGGTGATGAAGTGCGATCTGACTGCTCCTTGTTGGAGGTGATCTGGCTTCCAGTAAACGGCGGACTAGGTCGGTCTGCAAAAGAAGAATCAGAGAATTCGGGGTTGGTAACCCGGCGAGGTCGCTCCGATGCTTAAGTCAGTATACTTGGTTGCGAGCTGAAAAGCTTTAGAATGTAGAGAGCTAGAGAGCAGAGAAATCACGCGTACCGTGGGCCTCCAGGGGTAGAGCCTTTATATAGTGGAGTCCTCGTGGGTTTCGCAGAGCGGTTCCGGGATCCTCGTCGTGATGAGATCCTTTTCCGCGTTAATGGGGGATAACTGATAGGGCTTATCAATTCCGTCCAAACCGGGCGGGGAAGAGATAAGGCTTACCGTTACGAGGCATGATCCCACGAGGCTCGAAATTTGATGGCGAGATTTTCGGGGTTGCCATGTAGTGGTCTGTCAATATTACCTGAGCTAGTGCTCTTTAAATCCGACCTGGGGTGAACGCCAAAATGCCTTGGGACCGAGGTGATCCTGATGCGACCTTACACTGAGGTGAACTCGTCCCGAGGTGGTTTGATTAACCGCACTCGATCTATTGCGGACTTGGCATGTCGGGCTGAGCTGTCATCTTACTAATTAGATCGTATCCACGTGTCCCCTTGCCAAATCACCCTTCATCACCTGGTTTGATATATATATACATAACATTGATTATTAAAAGATAAACATAAAAACTATATTCGTCTTTACATTTAAATGCGGGTGGCGATAATATAGAAATTTTAAACCAGCAGTTAAAAAAGATTTATATATATCAGTTCACAATATTGATATATTGGTATAAAGCTTCTTTATTTATTTATTTATTTTTGCAATTCATTGTAGGTGGTGCAAATGCCTCGCCTTCAACAAAGTTGTATACCAAATCGTCACTACTTTTGTTAGTGAATCAACGTCAAGGCATCGAAAGACTGGTTGCTGTTAGAAATTTGTTGTGTGCAATTTCTCTTTAATTTCTTTTTCTTTTTTCTTATATGGCTCTAAAAATTTACAATTACTCTTACCTATTGTCCTATTGTCTGGGCCGGTGATTTTTGAGCAAATTAATCAACGGGTTTGGGATAAAACGGAATTGCCATTATCATCACTCTGGTGATGGTTCAACCGATCCAATTGCCCAAATCAATGACGGGTTTATTACATTATATGCAATGCAAGTGATCAGAAAAATCAATTTTTCCAAAACAAAAAGGAAAAATTCAATCATGTATTATTTTTCTCCATCCCTTTTCATTTTTGCGTTAAAAGCAATTGTGGATGTTAGGTTGAACACTTGAACTCCCTAGTAGGGATGTCAACAGATTGGGTTTGATATGGAATTGTCACTTCAAATTTCAAACCCAATCCAAATCAACCTCAATCCAAACCTGTGCTGAATCGGCTAAACGGAGAGGGGATATCAGACCCGATCCACCCCACCCTACAGCTATATATAACCATGCTTAATATTTACAAAGATTTTCAAGCAAAATAAATTCTTTTTCACACAATACAAAAATGTAAGAGGAGAGAGGGGGGGCTAATTTAGGTTTTGCTGAGTGGTGGATTGGAATTCATAAAGGGGACCCCCTCAAAACTCAAATTATTCTGGATAGAGCTTATAAGCTTTTCTCTGAATATTGGGATCGTACTGAGAAGCCTAATAATAACAAGTTTTAAGAAAAATGAAAAACATTTCATGGATACCCCCCAAATCTGGATACAGTTAAAAATGAACTTTGATGCTTTTTACACTTGGAATGGTGGTTGTACAGTAGCTGCCATTGCAAGAAACCATTTGAACAAGGTGTTGGACTACAAAGGATATACTTTGGGCACCTCCTCTGTTAATGTTGCGGAGGCTTGGGCGGCGTGGGAAGCTCACAATTTGGCTACCTACTTTAATGATTTTTTCAATCATAAAAGAAGGAGGCTTGAGGCTAGTCAGAAATTGTCTCAAAGGGCTAATCCCTCCTCCTTGGAATTTAAGGAATATTATTTTAGACTGTTTGCATATGAAGGAGAAGCTGGAGGGTAGAGTTAGCTACAGGCGTATCTACCAAGAGGCAAATGAAGCAGTGGATTGACTTGCAAACCAGGTTCATTCTTTACCGGATGGTGTCATCTCCCTTAATCTTTGTAATCTTCTTAGAGAGCTGGGTCTTATTTGTTTTAGCGATGTTTTCAGTCAACCTATTTCAACTTCAAGGGATCAGAATTAGCACAAGTGAGTGTGGCTTTATCACTTAGCCTGATCCACTGACATTCACTTCGAATCCAATACATTTGGACTTGAGATTCAGTTTGAAAGGAGTATAAATACAAATATGTAGAGTGTAAAAGCAAAACTTTGAATTTTGTTTGTATTTACATTATATATACATATATACATATATGTATGTATGTATTTGTACTCTTTTCAAACTGAGTCCAAAGGSATATTCATTCAAGTCCACACAAATTTAAATTTCAAGCACGTTAAAAGTGGGAAATTGGTAAACGATATTCCCAAAGTGTTTCTATAACTAAAATTCTTTAGAATTCAGATCCACTCCCAACAGAACTTGTTTCTCACTCATTGATGGTCATATTATTTGCAGGCAATTCCAACAACTTGGTTATTTTTATTACTAGTGGGGATTAGTACGAGGCACGGGCCTTATTAGAAGAATGTGAGGCAAAAGGAGTTAGGGGTGCAACTTGGGTGGGTCCAACCTGAGCCTAACCTAGCTCAACAAACACTTTTGCACAGATTGGGCTTGGATTTTTGAACTTCAACTTGGGCTTGGGCCAAAAAGCTCAAGTCTGACTTAAACTCAGGTTGGGCTTGAGTTTCGTTCTCAAGTAGCCCGAGACTGACACAATCCCATCTGAGCCCGCCAACATTTTATGATATACATATCTACATATTATCAATCTATTCTACCTAAAAATTGAGCTACAAAGATAAATACACCCAAGCCTAAACCTAGCTTGAGATGTTGGGTTGAGCTTTGGTTGCACCTGGGTTAGTAAAATTGGGCTTAACCTTGAGTTGGGCCGAGCTTGAGCTCGAAGTGAGACTTAGGGTTGGGCTTGGGTTGAATCTCAACTTGACCCAACCCACCCATGTTGCACCCCTAGAAGGGGCATTGTGACATTCCTAATTGTATTAGTTTTTTGTTTTTATTAAATTGTTTTAAATTTTACTAAATTTTTATTTTGTATTAATTTTTGTTAATCTTAAATGGATTAGGGGATTTTAAATATACAATTATTAAGTTTGAACTATTAATTTTGTTAATTTTTAATTTTATCAACAAATTTGTAGTATAATTTTATTTTTTAAATGAATATCAAAATATAAGATTTATTTTTTGAAACTAAAATTTTCTTAAATTTTGGTTGTTTTATTAATAAACATGTATTAATTTGTAGTAACTTTATTTTTAAGTAAAACGTGCATTAATAAAAAAATAAAAAAATAATTTATATTAATTCATATTATTTTTATCTATAATTTTTATTACATTATTAACTTAATTAATTAAATAATTTATTGTGTTATTAATTAATTAGTTAACTAATTATATAGTTATCTTATTATTTAATTAATATTTTTAATTTATATAATCATTCTCTAATTTAACTAAATTTGTTAAGCTAATTAATTAAGAAAAGTAAGTTGACTAAATAAAAGTAAATGATTAAATAACAATGTACAGGTTAGGTGTACCCAAAGCTTACTAATAAGTAATAACTAACCAATTAATTAGATTTATTTAAGATAACGAAGTTAATTAATTAAGTTAATGACTTTAACTATGTCAATGAAATAAATTACGTTAAAACTTATTTATCTTTGAAGTTAACTAATTGAAGAATTATGTAATTAATGACAGTTTTGTTATCATTAATTAATTATGTAATTCACTTTGTTTAAATTTTTTCTTTTCCATAATTTTGTCGARCATTACACATGCATTTTCTTTGATTTTTTTATAATAATATTATAATTTCCATGGTGTATAGAAGAATGTGGGCTTTTCTTTTGGGGTTGGGGTCAGGGTAGTTGGAAAGTAGGGATTAATAGGAGCAAGGAGAGATTTGCTGATGTGGCCTAATGAGAAGGCTAGGGAGGAGTAAGGGAGAAAGGAGAGACAATGTGACGTGGACAATACAACCCTTAGTGTGAGAGACGAGAGAGCTTTTAACTTTTAAAATCTACGGAGAAGCTTGAGACGAGAGAGTGCTTTTTTTTAGCCCTTCCATTGACATCAAGAAAAATAATAAATCTCAGATCCCATGGGAATTCTTGAAGAAAGCATTCGTCTTGATGATTACTAGCCCATTTAACAAATGAGCCAATTTTTGGGCTTTTAACGCAGCCCATGTTTCGACCTAGGGCTGGCAATTCTGAACCCAACCCACTTTG